GGCAACAGAGCTTTTTGTCAGCTCACCTTGAATCAATTATTACGAGGGAAACCCCACCCCCCCCCGAAAATAAAAGTGTCGAATTGGAGGATGTTCAACTAGGATGCTCAACTGCACTCTCGGCACAGCTGCCTCGGCCCCCTCCCTTTGAAATGATATCACAAAAGAAGGAAGAAGGGAATATGACGGAAATTCGGTCCTCGCAAGCTGGTCTGGAGGATCCGGATCAGCTGGCTCGGAATGGTCGTGTCTCAAAAAATCACAAGCGGAATCTCAGCCGATCCGACGAGTCCTCGCAACTACCGTCTGCTTCAAACGAACCCGAGTCTCGCACCCCATCCAAATCATCCGCCGAACAACCTCCCATTATCACCGATGTGTCGGAAGCCGCTGCGACCTTCCGCCAGGCCTTCCCTGGCTTTTACGGTGCCCGGACTCCCTCGAATCGCTCGTCATCGAGTTCCCTACAAGCGCTCAACGAAGGTATTGTGGTCGATGTCCGATCGGAAAGTGGAAGCATTGGAAGGGGCACTCGACGAGCCTCGAGACACTCGGATCATCAATTACCAGTTTACCCCGATCAATCCTATGCCTCTCTCCAGTCTCAGGTGCATCCCACCTGGCAACCACCCCACCTCGTAGAACCAGATCCGGTGCCCAGACACTCCTATGCCCGCGGTACTCGCACCGCGGGTAACACTCCGCTATCGAGCCCGGGGCTCTTCTCCATGAGACACTCTCGCATGGGAACACCAACCGCGTCGGACGATGACATCTCGACGGGAAGTTCACTTCTCCATCCATCACATCTTCAGCCTCCGAAAGAAACACACACTGCCGAAGTTGATCGCGACATAGTGACGGGAAACAAGACCATCAATCAGTATGAGATCCTCGAAGAGCTGGGCCGCGGTGAACATGGCAAAGTGAAACTAGGCCAGCATGTTGCGACTAAGCAGAAAGTTGCCATCAAGATTGTCCAGCGGTACTCCACTCGCCGTCGGTTAGGAAAGTTGGGTAATCCAGAAGACAAAGTGAAGAAGGAGGTGGCTATTCTGAAGAAAGCGCGGCATCCAAATGTGGTCAGCCTGCTCGAAGTTATCGACGATCCGAATCGACAAAAGGTATACATTGTGCTTGAGTATGTTGAAAATGGCGAGATTGTCTGGCGCAAGAAGGGTCTACGAGAAATCGTCCACGTCGACAAGCTACGTCTTGAGCGGGAAAAGAATGGAATCCCAGACACTCCCGCGTTTTTGGAAGAGAGCCACCAATTCATTCGAACTGCTCAGCATCTGCGGCAGCAACGGGAAAGGGCTCGCGAGCGGATTGAAGCACAGGCTGCTGATGCCCAGCAAGGGCCAATCCCTGCTTGGAGTTTGGAGCACGGCGCCGAATCTTCAGACGAAGAGGATGACGAGTGTGGTCTTCCCATCAGGAGATCATCGAGCCGTTCTGTTGCAGTAACAGATGACTCAAGCCCATCTTTCACCCAGGACCAGTCTCTAAATGCCGTCGAGGGCAGCATGTACGGCGCCTATTCAGATTACCCGTTCGAACGACGTTCCAGCACAGCTTCCAGTAGCTTTGGCTACGCCCCCTCTGAACCCGAGTGGTCTGCAGAGGGCGACGATATGGCATTCGTTCCTTGTTTGACTATTGCTGAAACTCGCAGCGCATTCCGGGACTCGGTACTTGGTTTAGAATACCTCCACTACCAGGGTATCATCCACCGGGATATCAAGCCGGCCAATCTACTCGTCACCAGCACTCATCGGGTGAAGATCTCTGATTTCGGTGTTTCCTACCTGGGACGCCCAATGCGAGACGAGGAAGAAGAGCAGGTGGGCGAGACCGATGCGACGGAGTTAGACGATGCTCGTGAATTGTCTAAGACTGTCGGCACTCCAGCTTTCTATGCCCCCGAATTATGTTATACCGGCGATGACTTTGTGGAAACCATTGGGTCGATCCCCAAAATCACTGGTGCGGTCGACGTTTGGTCGCTTGGTGTCACATTGTACGGAATGATCTTTGGTCGCCTACCATTCGTCTCAGATGATGGGTACAGCATGTTCCAGACCATTGTTAAGAAGGAAGTCTTCATTCCACGGAAGCGCCTTGTGCCCGTTATGGATGAGGCGTCTGACTCGAATCAGTGGAACCTGAGAAATGATGATGAGCTCGTCTACGAGGATATCGACGATGAGCTATACGATCTGCTCAGACGCCTGTTGACCAAAGACCCGGTCAAAAGGATCACACTGAAAGAGATTAAACACCACCCTTGGACACTCCATGGCCTTCCAAACCCTCGAATCTGGATAGAGGAGACCGACCCTGGCTACCAAAGCAAGGGTAAACGAATTGAGGTTTCGAATGAAGAAGTTACAAGCGCTGTCAGCAAAGTTCCATTCATTCAACGGGTTCGGTCTAATGTCGCCAAATGGTTCGGCAGCGGTCGATCGAAGGACAAGGAACCTCGCAAGCGCACGTCGAGCACAACAACTTCTACCGAGACCCTGTCTTCTGCCTCAAGTAACAGTGCACTCGGGAAACCCTCCCGCGACAGTCGTCCGTCCAGTCTGCGAGGGGAGGAGGAATTATTCCGGCCGCTCAAATTTGGCAATCAAGGACACCCGCTCGCCCAGAGCGTTACTGCAAGTCCAGTGGATGAAGGCGATTGGGCGTCTTATTTTGATGCCGCGCAACCAGCTGCTGCAAAGCTTGCCACTCCACCTCCTAGTGTGACACCCCGACCTGGTCCTCCTCGTCGCGCAAAGTCCTCGATGTCTACAGCAGAATCTGCAAAGACAGTCAAGTCATCCAATTTCGATACCCCATTGACTGTTCGGCCATTTTCCATCATCGAAGCCCTAGGACCGACGAACTTGGGTAATCTTTTCAGTGGAGCTACTCGACGGGCATCACGCGGCAGTCGCAGTCGGCGCACTTCCCCGTGTGGAGAGTCAGGATCTCTGCATGGGGATGGAGAACGTTGCTCTGCTGAGCCTAGCATCGCTGTCAGCAATGCATCTGCCCATGGTCAGGTGCACACCCCCGGCCTGTGGCATGAGGAGGAACACCCTTCTGCCGAGCAGGTGGCCCCCAGTCATACAAACCGGCGCAAGCGATCTTCGCAACTCGAGGATACACCTGCAGAATCTCTCAATCTCACAAGGGATGCACTCCAGCGACGCAGACAGAGCGACATCGAGGCAAATGAAGGCGGTACCTTGAGAGTTGACTATGCGATGTATTCTACTGAATCGCTCCTCCTGCCGCCCATCAATCCACCTACCAACCAAGGATGTCCCGCCGCCGACAGCACCAACAATGGGCTGGCCACTTCCACCTCGGCCACTATTTCTTCCTCTTCTGCTGATGACTTCACCAGCGGTATGTCTCAGAGTGCCTCCCACCCCAGTATTCCGTCGGTCGTCTCAAACGCATCGTCTCTTTCTGGTGATGGTTACTCAGTCAAGCGCGATGACTTGGACGAAGTACCCTCCATGCTCCGAACCGGAGAGACACTTAAACCTCGTCCGAGCTCGCCCCGGTCGTCTGAAGAGGATGAGTCGAGGTACTACTGCGATGACGAGGACGAGGATGAATCGGAAGATGAAGGCCTTGTGATTGGAAAACGCAAGCCCCCTCCCAAGGCTGCTACATCAGATATTCCGTCATAGCTATCGAATGAAAATATGGCCGGTCCCGATCAGTCCAGTTCAGTCCACCTCTTTTAACATTTGATTCCGGCCCATCACACCGCCTTAACAACACTCACACTATTCTACCACCTATTACTACTTCCTCTATCCGTCGACGCTTCCTAACTATACCTAGTGAAGTTGTTGTATACAACTGGATTTCGTTTTGATTCTCTTTCCATCACAGTTTCCGGCAGGCTGTTATCTGGAAATTGTTCCTAGAGATTGTTCCATACATTCTACATGGTCTGTACATATACATGAACTCGCATGAGCATCCATCAGTGCCTTGCGAAGAATCCCCCCGGTGCCATCCGACCGGCCCCGTCTGCATATCTGTTTCTGTTCTGTTGAGTTCAGTGTCTGTGACTATGAATATGGAGGGCAGAGAATCCTGTAGCGCATTTCAGGGGTTTCCTTTCCTTCCCTGTTTCTCCTTTTTGTTCTTCTTTCTTGGTCTTATGCATGGATGAGGGGCCAGATCGATTTTCTTTTTATTTTTTTTTTTTTAACTGTATGTAATGTTGACTTGGTCAAAACCGGGAGGTTGGGCTTTGGGACCCATATTTTGGATTCCTTGAAAGGGACTGCAGAGTGTCTCTTGGGGAATTTGAGCAATTGCGACATGACTGATATATGATGAAGAAATGAAATATGGGTTTTGGGACTGCTGATCTTATCCCTCTCCCCTGAGATCAACTTGTTTCCCATACATTGTAGAAGACTCCGTGCTGTGCCTAAAATGGATCCCATACTTCGTCATAGGGAGAATAACTAACCATATAACTAGTTTGTTAATATACCTACTTGTATTATTTCCTCCAGTAGCGTGAGATTTTATGCCCCTTGGCTCATTTTGGAATACCAACAATGTACGGATTATTTCCACCAATGATGATATCTGAGGGTTGCAAATTTATGATAGCATTTGAGTCTCTAGGTGCAAGCAAGCACTTATGCATAAAAACCACCCCTGATTTACTCCGTAACCTAGTCTTTCCGTGTCTCACCTCATGTTTCACAAGTGGGAACTAAGCCGAAAAAAAAGAGCTTCTAGGGTCAGTCCGGGGCATGTTTCTCCTTCTAGTACTCCGTAATCCTGCACAAGACGTGATCCGGGAGAATTGTCGGAGAAATCAGAAACTATAGCTATACACTAGGAATATGTACGGAGTACATAGGAAAGTAGATCGACGAAGATCGACTCAGTTTCTACAACCGTTTCCCTCTGCTTCATAAAGCCATCGATCTGAGTTGACTCCATTCGACTCTAACAAGTGGTTGCCCATCATGCTTCCCTACCTCCTTCTATCTGCCGCACAGCTCTTCACCTCAACATCTGCCGCATTGACCTACAATGGCGCGGATATATCTTCCCTCATCGTCGAGGAAGGCAAAGGCGTCTCTTACAAGAACCTTGCGGGTACGCCGGAAAATCTGGAAACCATCATCTCGGCTAGTGGCGTCAACTCTGTTCGCCAGCGTGTCTGGGTTAATCCCAGTGATGGATCATACGATCTAGATTACAACGTTAAGCTCGCAAAGAGAGTACAGGCGAAGGGCATGGGCACGTATCTTGACTTGCATTACAGTGATACGTGGGCGGATCCGAAGGCACAGGTAAGAAGATAATCCCCCCAACACGGACTGTTTGATGTAATGACTGACCCTACTTCTTTAGAGCGCTCCCTCGGGTTGGTCCACAACAGACATTGACATCCTGGCAGGGCAAGTGTACGACTACACCCTGTTGGTATGCAACACGTTTGCGGAGAACAAGCTGGGCGTAGAGATTGTCTCCATCGGCAACGAAATCCGTAACGGCCTGGTATGGCCCCTGGGAGGAACAAGCAGCTACAGCAACATTGCGAGGATCCTGCACTCCGCTGCTTGGGGTGTGAAAGACTCCAAGCTGACCACCACTCCCAAGATCATGATCCACCTCGACAACGGCTGGGACTGGGGCTCTCAGTCGTGGTTCTACAAACAAGTTCTGGCATCTGGGTCTGCACTCCTCTCCACGGACTTCGACTACATCGGCGTCTCGTACTACCCCTTCTACAGCGCGGATGCCACGCTCGCTTCACTGAAAAGTAGTCTTGCGAACCTGCACTCGACGTACAAGAAGGAGACGCTGGTTGTCGAGACCAACTGGCCATTTGCTTGTTCCAAGCCCGAGTTTGGATTCCCGTCGGATCTCAAGGATATTCCATTTTCGGTTGCTGGGCAGCAGACTTTCCTGAAGAGACTTGCTGATACTGTGGAGTCTGTTGGTGGATTGGGCATTTACTACTGGGAACCTGCTTGGGTTGATAATGCGGGACTTGGAAGCAGTTGTGAGGATAACTTGTTCTTTTCTTGGTCGAATGATCAGGCTAGGGCTAGTCTGGATACCTTTGGTGGTCTGTGAGAATCTCACCCAAGTGATGAAGTATATACAGGGTTTAGCCCTGTCACCTGATTTGAGCCATCAAATCACATACCGGCTATGCAAGGAAGTTAGGCAGCAAGCACTTAATATCAAGGAACATCAAATATAGACAGAAGTACAATGTGTACAGAGTATAAAATGTAAAGACAAGGCAGATTTGTTGAAATGTGCCTTGCCCAATGCTTATATCCCTTATACCTAAATAGGACTAGTTCTCATGGGCCTCAGCTGGGTGGCTGTGCAAAAGCTAAGGCCCAGTTCTCTTTAGCGTTTGACCCCCTCCACTTTGGGAGATCAACTGCTTCATGGCCTAACACATTTGTATATTCAACAGGCAACGCTTTTAATTTGCAATTGAATCTCTTTAGAAATGTGTTCATGTAGAATATAAAAATAGAGTCTGTGTTCGTTTATCTGTTATCAGGGTGGACACCGATAATGCCAATGTGGGGGAGAAGACCCCATTTGGGGTTTCTCTTGAAGGAACTTTGTACGGAGTAAAAGAAGGTGGGAACTTTCTCTCCCTCTGTTGTTCCTTTGCGCTTAGGGCACCCACAGGGGAATATTATGGGAATATTATGGGACTATCGTATATTAAAATAATAATCCTTATAACCCCCATCTACTCCTCATGGACAACACATAGCTTGATATACAACAGACGTGTTTGACCTAGACCGCCTTGCGCACGTGAAAACGCCTAACCTTCAACTTCTCCCTCATTTACCTTCCCATTGCGGACCTCTTGTGAAACTCAAGTTATCATTGCTCTTAGAGATGACGAGGCAGTCTGGCGACCGTTGACAACTAGCTCAGAGCCTCATTCGTGTACCGGATCCGACCCTGGACCCTTGCGAATGACATCCCACCATATTGTCAGACAACATTCTCCCTACATCACTAGGCGTCCACGACCCTGACAAGATTTACTCGTCTAATCTGCCCCTGTCGCCAAATCTCTGCGCTATATCCGATCCCTACCCCGTCCCTTGTCCCTGATCACAGCTCCAGCTTGGCGCTCGTGAAATAACCCTCACCCGCGCGCATTCGCAAATATGGCCTCGCATGGTCAGAACCACGGCACGGCCTATTCCCCCGGGGATATCAAGCATCGGAGCGTAAGCCCTTCGCCACACGGCCAACAATATCACGATCCCAACACCGGTGGATTAGGAGTTGACCCCTCTATGGCCGCTTATTCGACAAACCCCTCCTTTCACAATCCCGACGGCAGCATCGGTGGTGCTGAAACATATGGATACCCAAGCTATCTTGCTGGGGCCCCCTCGACACAGACATTATCGCCGACGGACCAAAGCTATGCCCCAACTATCAATACCAACATTCCGATATCGCAATCGTTCGAGACAAGCCTAGTCAATCAGCTTGAGCACTCTTCGACGGGACTCAGACAGATGCAGGGTGACGAAAACTTCTCCAATATGCTCAACTCCAACCACCCAGAATTGGACTTTTCTCTCTATCAGAATCACAGCCCCAACAGCACTTCCACCCCCGAGTACGATTCTTCATTGTTGCTAGACCCGCAAATGCACCAGCGCCAGTCAATCAACCAAGCGATCAACCCCGCTGATCTGGTCAGCCCCATCTCCAATCCTTCAATATCTTCGCATCCATCATCGCAAGATCAGCAGCATTCCTCACCTGGCCCCATGTCCCCTCCGGGATCCACACAGGGTGCATACTATACCCCTCGGCATTCACGACACACTTCCCTTGACCCGGCTACTGCAGCGTATTTGACTGCCCAACCGGGTCCAGACTGGCAGTCGGTTATGAATAATGTTTCCTTCCAGGGCCATCGACGTGCACCGTCTGAGGTCTCCGAGGTATCATCGGCCAACCACTCCCCCTACTTGTCCCAGCACGAATTCGATGGCATTGAGAACAATGCGTCGCCATCTTTGGCTCCCCAAAGTGATCCAAGCCTTTACGACAATGGCTTAGGCATGGAATCCTTCACGTTGTCAGAGCAGCATCAGCAAGGGATCAGTCCCCTTCACAGCCCGTATATCTCTCCGCGGTTGATGCCACAGCAGGGGGGTGAGATGGTGCCGAATAATTCGTATCTCTCTCAGTTCCCCTCGGCGCCGACAGACATGTATGGAATGCCCCAAGAGGACATGATGAACATGGGCCAATTGAACAATAGTCCGGGCGATATCGGTCAAGCTTCGCAGATGGCTCCTCCATCAATCAATGTTGAGTTTGCCCCGCCATTGCGGAATCCAAACTTCGATCCATCCAAATCAACGGCAGATTTCGATTCATTGAGCCCTCCCGCTATGCGTAAGTGCTGATTTACAACACCTTTGGTTGATACGATACTAACCAGATCTTAGGATCCCGTCTTCGTAGTAAATCTGACCCTTATCACCCTGCTTCCCGCCCACGCTCTCCTGCAACTTCAGCAACAAGTCTGGAGCCCCGCGCACCTGCCACACCACGATCCTTGTCGCCCGTTGGATCGGTTGGCTCTCACTCGCGCAGTAGCCCCAGTTCGCGGGATCCCTCGCCTGCACGATCAAACCGACGCCTCTCCACCTCATCAATCGAGAACCGGAACTACATCCTGGATCTCGCCGATCCGCAAAGGCCCGGGGCAGCACCCGGGGAGCCGAAACGAATCCAGAAACACCCAGCTACCTTCCAATGCAACCTATGTCCGAAACGGTTTACGCGCGCATACAATCTGCGATCCCATCTCCGCACCCACACCGACGAACGACCATTCGTGTGCACAGTGTGCGGCAAAGCATTTGCACGGCAGCATGACCGCAAACGCCACGAAGGCCTCCATTCCGGCGAAAAAAAAATTCGTCTGCCGCGGCGAGCTCTCGCGAAGCGGACAATGGGGCTGTGGCCGCCGCTTCGCCCGTGCAGATGCTTTAGGCCGCCATTTCCGCTCCGAGGCGGGCCGGGTATGTATCAAGCCTCTTCTGGACGAGGAGTCGCAAGAGCGTGACCGCGTCTTGCTAGAGCACCAGCAGCAGCAACAACAATCACCAACCGGCCATCTCCAGCCAATCCCTCAGCCGCTTGTCATGCCCAATATGCCCGGCATGGATGGGCAATCGACGGGCAACTTCGTTCTTCCTGCTGCTCTTCTGGCACAATACCCGGCTCTGCAGACATTGCAGTGGGACCAGATTTCGGCTGTTGGTGATGATCCGGGTGAGATTGGTGGGCGGAGTAGCTTTGATGCTAGCTCTGGTGGGGAGTTTGGCTTTGACGAAGATGATCCGGGGATGGGTGGTGGTTATGGTAATAACCAGGGGAATATGTACGGTGTCAATAACTCCGGTCAGATGTTGGGGGTCAATCCTGGGGACGCTGGGTATTCTGATCAGAAGTGGACTGGATGACACTGGTATGTTTTGTTTCGTCGTTTGTTCCCTTCCTCTTTCTTTCTCCTTCTTCATCTTCCTCTTCATCTCCTTCATCTTCTTCATCTTCTTTCCCCTGTTTCAGGTTTCAAAAAGGATATTGCATGATGCATTCCATCTGCATAAAGCCGGTTCTTTTGTTTTCAATTCTGCCTGTATAGAAAGGCTTGTTGGCGTTCAGATATAGGATGCTCTCGGGGATGTCGGAGGATTCCCGAAGCTCGGCAATCAGGACATATGATTGTCTTGGTGTTTTGTTTTTCTTTTTTTTTTTTGGTCTTTCTAGACATCGGTGTTCATTATGCCGTCGTTTGATTCTCATTCCCAACTTCCCCTTCAAGGTGGTTACTTCTTCTTCTGCCCATCTTATTACTTATGAAAGAACCAGGCATCGTGATGCTTTTTTTTTATGATATTCCCATGTTTATTTCATGCCCATCTACCTTTTTTCTTTTCTTTCTCTTCTATTATGAATTCTGTCTCATTTTGAGCTCACAGTTTCAAACCTATCTATATACCATGACATACAATGAAATGGATTGCACTTAATCAAATGACTTGGCCCTCTCAATCTAGTACTTCTTTACTACTATGCCAACTTCACCTTGCACTATTATTATTCACTCTCCAGTAAATCAAGGAACAGTAGAATACAGATCACATTGGATATCATCTAGTCGGCAAAACAAATCTAAAACCACCGAAATTCACCATATACAAGGTGAGGGACCACTATAATGCAATCCAATCAAATCATCAACTCCAGATCGAACCCAACAACCTATTTTTATGGTGTCAAACCAGTCTGAAATCCACCTCCGCCCTATCTTCAAGAGGAAGCCTTCTTGGCCAACAAGTTCAAAGCACTACCAGCAAGGATGAATGCACACTGGTCCTTACTGAAAGTGTGCTGAACAGGAACCTCGAACACCTCTCCAGTCTTCTGCTTGGTAACACGCAGCTTGACGTCACCCAGTCCACCAGCCTGCAAGACATCATAAAGACCAACCGTATCAACCTTATCACAAGCATCAATACGGTCATAGTCCTCACGGTTCACAAATGTCAGAGGCACAACACCCTGCTTCTTAAGGTTCGTCTCGTGGATGCGCGCAAAGCTCTTAGAAACAATAACCCGGCCTCCAAGGTAGCGCGGCTGCAGCGCAGCGTGCTCGCGCGCAGAACCCTCGCCGTAGTTATCCTCCGCAACAACGAGCCAGGAAATCCCGCGCTCCTTCCATGTCTCTGCGAGTTCTGGGATTCCGTACTGCTTGCCGGCTTCGTCGTAGGCGACGTTCGTCTCGCCGGTTGCGGCGTTGACGGCGCCGATCAGAGTGTTGGCGGAGATGTTGGGCAGGTGGCCCTTGTACTTGAGCCATGGGCCTGCGGCAGAGATCGTGTCGGTTGTGCACTGGCCCTTGACCTTGTATAGGACCTGGAGGCCTGAGAGATCACCCTTGGGGAAGGGGGCGAAGGGCTCGAGGAGGGCGAGGCGGTCGGAGGTCGGTGAGACGATGACTTCGCTGCTTGCGTCGGGGACGGCGGCTGTGGGCAGGAAGTTGGGGTTACCTTCCTCGAAACCGGCGCTGGGGAGATCGAAGCCGCTGGGGGGCTGGAACTTGAAGGTTGAGCCATCTGGTGCGGTTAAGGAGTCGGTCATGGGGTTGAAGGTTGTGCTGCCGGAGTAGGCGAGCGCGGTGACGAGTTCCGGTGAGGCGAGGAAGTTCATTGTTTGACGGTTGCCGTCGTTGCGGCCGGGGAAGTTGCGGTTGTAGGAGGTGAAGATGGCGTTGTCTTCGCCCTTGGGGACGCCGTCGGTGCGCTTCCATTGGCCGATGCAGGGACCGCAGGCGTTGGCGAGGACGATGCCGCCGGCTTCAGAGAAGGTGTTTAGCGTTTGATCGCGGTCGAGAGTGGCGCGGATCTGTTCACTGCCGGGAGTGATGAAGAAATCCGACTTGGGCTTGAGGCCTGCTGCGGTGGCCTGCTTGACGAGATCCTCGGCGCGGGTCATGTCCTCGTACGAGGAGTTGGTGCAGCTACCGATGAGACCGGCACCGAAGGTCTCGGGCCACTTCTTCTCGCGGACGGTGTCGGCGAACTTGGACAGCGGCACTGAGAAGTCGGGAGTGAAGGGTCCGTTGATGTGCGGCTCGAGCTCGGACAGGTTGATGGTGACCAGCTGGTCATACTCGGCCTTGGTATCGGCACGCAGCAGGCTCGAGGGGCCGGCGGCGGCAATCTCAGAAGCGGCCTCTGCGACGTGGCCGCGGTGGGTCGACTGCAGGTAGGGGACCATGCTAGGCGAGAAGGGGAAGACCGAGGTGGTAGCACCGACCTCAGCACCCATGTTACAGCAGGTAGCCATACCCGTGCAGCTCAGGGTCTCGACACCAGGGCCGTGATACTCGATAATGTAGCCAGTGCCACCGCGGACAGTCAGCTTACCAGCCAGGGAGAGGATGATATCCTTAGGCGAGGCCCATCCGCTGAGCTTGCCCTCGAGGCGAACACCGAGAACCTTAGGAGCCTTCAGCTCCCAGGGGGCGTCGACGAGCGCATCGACAGCATCGGCACCACCGACACCGATGGCAATAGCACCAAGGCCACCTCCGTTGGGAGTGTGGCTGTCTGTACCGAGCATCATCAATCCAGGGGCGGCGTAGTTCTCCAGCACGCTCTGGTGGATGATACCGGCACCCGGAGGCCAGAACTCAATACCGTAACGCTTGGCAGCACTCTCCAGGAAGTCGAACACCTCACTGTTACCCTTGATTGAAGCTGGCAGATCGGTATCGGCACCGCGCTCACCGACGATCATGTGGTCGCAGTGGATACTGGCTGGGACAGCGGTGGAGGGAAGACCGCAGGACATGAATTGGAGTAGAGCCATCTGGGCCGAAGCATCCTGCATGGCGACACGGTCGGGCTTCAGCTTCAGGTTGGCCTTGCCTCGAACGTCGCGGCCGTTGTTGGTTCCGGTGAGCAATGACTCTTCGGCATTGTCCAGATGCGCATAAAGGATCTTCTCGGCGAGGGTGAGGGCGCGGTCAGAGCCAAGGACCCGGCGGACCTGTTCGAGGTTGCGGACGAGCTTAGGATATGGGGGCATGCGGGAGGAGGATGCCTCGGTGGCTAGGCCACGGGCGAAAAGCCGTTGCGAGGAGAGCCGTGTGGCCATCTGTAAGGCGTTAGTTTGTCCAATTGCGGTGTCTTCAATATATACTTACGCCACGAGAGGCAGAAACCCGCTGCCAAACAAGCTGGCTCACCATCTTCACTAATGTCCAATTTTGGGGAGAAACTGGGGGAGGAGAAGATGTTCCCTTTTTTCTCCCGTCCGGTTATACGTTATTTGTATTGGCTCTGATTGGTTGGTGGTTGCGCCGATTTCGGAATCCAGGCCTCTATTATGTGGGGAAATAGGCTTGGTATTTCTACATACAACAACACCATTCCTCAGGGGATTGAAACTGCCTCCAGATGTCAGGAAGATAGTATCCTCGTATGTGCTAATGAACCCATATTCACAGTTCAGCTTCTGCATATCCCGTAGAGGTTGCGGGATCGTGCCCCGAAGCTCATCTTGTTTAGCAGTGGCCGCTCGAATATCATGTCCATCAGCCCAGGGGTGTCTTCAACTCCCCAACCAGCTTAATTTCGGTTGTGCCATTTGCGTCTTGTAGCCCTGCAACGTTGGGGATGCTTTTGTAAGTACTTCCTAAGCACTTATAATCCCCAAAGTAGATGGCGATTGAGCGGGTCTCCAGGGCCGTTCCAAGTGCATGGCCTATGGCCCGTTGGAAACGGCCCTGGAGACTGTGCTACGGGCGACTAAGTATGCCACCGGCACATAACTCTGTCATTGGTTCATATTGCCAGTAGTCATTTAGATTCAATAATGTTGTAGTTGTTAATTGAAGCCTACCGATGCTTAACGATGTCTGAATACCTAGATTATAAGGTTAATAAAATCAATGCCTAAATCAATGCCTTCTAAAATGGGCATAGGGACTTTTAAAGTAAATTAAATTTGAATTGTATCTGAATTAGATTTGAAGAAGATTGGCAGATCTCTTGGCCGCTAGTTTAGGGGTGGGTGAATCTTTATAGAGTAGACTGTTGTATGTGCTGGCCTACTTAGTTCCCCCTACCGTGCTCATCGCCAATATAAACTTTGTCAACCTCCACCCTTTGGCCAGAATTGTTGATCGTGGAACAGACCGGTATTGCATTGAATCGATACATCCCATAGTGTGTAGGCCGTTGTTGTAAGGCGACGTTCTTGACTGTCTTGGCCAATGCTGGGTGGTGTGGGCGTTCCCAACACTCCGTAAGAAGTTGGACCACGGAACAAGTGTCCCCACAAATTTCAGACGCTGAATGGCAGTTGAATCGGTGTGATGCGGCCCTATTTGGAGGGATGGAAGCGGAGATTCTACAATCTGCCTTGCCCGGATTGTATCTGCCATTGTAGGTCTTTTTGGTCTAAATGAGCTTTCCGTTAGCTCTATATTCCTCTATGATAGAGTACGTACGCTTACAGCTAGAGATGTGTTACTGTGGAGGTCTGAGTTGATACTTGCCATCGAGGAAAAGATACAACCCATGCCTCCATCTTCCCCCAGACATGTATTCTGCACTACCTTGACCAATAGTCATTTCCCCCAAAGACCCATGAGCCAAAGAGACAGAACATACGATTAGCTGTTACGGTTTTGCTCATATGCGTTGCTGCTTCATGGGTATTGTGTAAGGTGATAACCTATCATCGAGGACAAACGTCGCACTGGGTGAGGGGGAAGGTTGTTCGAGCCAGACCTCGGTACCGCACAGATCATCGAAATCTCCTAGTCGAGACATTGTGGTGAGCATAGAGAGAAGAAGTACGAGAGAAGAAGTACGAGAGAAGAGAAGTGCAAGAGAATAGAAGTGCGGAAAGGTGACGAGCACATTCTGTGGATGGATTATATAAGTATAGATTCGTGATTAATGCCTTTAGGTGCCAACTCTCTGTATTGACCGTATTGTAAAATGCAGTCCAATCAATCGTGTTCAACGTGTCTGTAGCAATTTTGCCTTCGAAGGTTACCTTGTGTTCAGATTATTATAACCCTTTTCAGATACGAAGTTGTTACAAAATGATGTCCTACGTAACTGACCGTCAATGTTCTTCTGTTTGTTCTGTTACATTCTACTCAGCTTCATCTCTACTACAGGTCACTATGGGCAACAGCAACAGCAACCCCAATATGAAGCTATTCAAATCTGCAAAGTCTGATAATGACAGGACCATCGAGCCCTCGTCAAGCAAAATGCAATCCCAACAAACACCACCAACATACGAAGAGAGTACACAGGATGTGATGAAGAAATACGCAAAGCAAGTGAAACACGCCAAGACCCCCGAGGACCTGTTGGAACCACTCTTGTCAGACATGAATATCGATGAAAAACGAAAGCTCATTCAAGATGCTCCAGATATAGTCTTTGCTAGTGATGGGGGCACAACAAAAACTCTGAACCTTGAGACTCAGCTTGAAAATGCAAACTACGACGAGCTTGCTCAAAGGGTAGTCTACCGCTACCATTTTCTCAACGCATCATCCAACCGAGACTGGTGTAAAAAACTGATTAAGCTGGATATCACCCTGCGATGGATTGTCCAGCGCAGAATATGGCTTGAACAAAAGGTCAAAGCCCTACAGACACGTCAAAGACAGTATATGTCAGACTTGGATTTACATAAGCTTGAGACCTATGAAGAGCAAATCAAATCCCTCAACTCAAAATACTGGGATGGTCATAGGGAACAATGGGCCGTGTCAGACGGAATATGGAGCTTATCGGCGAACCGAGCAATAAAAAGGCAGAGAAAACACGCGGATTGGTATCTCTCGAGTGATCTTCGTGAAGACTGTGCAAATCGAGGGGGTGTTGTGGACGCGGATGTGGATGTTGCGAGAGGCCACAAATGACTGTCAATATAGATGGGGTCCGTGATCGAGGCCACTGTACCACAGCATGTAGTTGCTGCCTCGAGGCTCACAATATTGACGGTGAAAAACTAGGGATGAAAGACGTGGATAAAGTCCACTTTATACCTCGTACTCTTGATCGCCATGGTCAGCGACTACTCCGGGGATATATCTTCTATTGGAATGGGATGGAATGAATATCACACCAGACCAGGGGTTTTTCTTGTGCTAGAAATATTGCTTGGTCAACTTGAATCATGCCTATGGGTGCTTAATGGAGTGATGTTGCTAATCGGCTGTTCAACAAACGGAGGATTCGATGCTTGGTATTTGATGTTCCCTGGGCAGTCATTGCTTTGTCTTCGCTTCGCAAATATTGAAGGTATAGCTCGAATAACCAACTGCCCAAGATTAGCTCTTAGTTGAATATCATTTGAAACAGGAGACAAGAAACAAAGATCTTCTCAAATCATTCGTTAACAGGGAAATTTCATTAAACTCGGAGTAAAACCACCAGAGGACACCAAAGTGCCCTCGTCTCCAAGACAAATGCCAATGCCATACCGTAACGCCTATCGTCACATAAAGAAAAAGAAGAGAAAACAAGGTGAGGCTCTGATCATACAATCACAGACCACTGTATGCCAAAGACATTCCATGGCCAATTCTTCATCAACATCGGCGCAAATTCACAAACATCGGTGGAAATAAAACACATGAGTAAAGAAAAAAAAACAAAGGCATTGGTCTAAAAAACCTGCTGTCTTAAGACTCATCTGCCTCGTCCACCACTGCGGCACGGAGCTCCCAAACCAAATCGTAGCATTCAGCTAGCAAGTTATTGACACTGCCCTGGCCCTCTGGGATATCTGGACCCACATAAAATTTCCCATCAACTCGCATGTTATCAATCGAGTTGAGCTGTTTCCGTCAGTTTTGATACACAAGCAGTGTGGACAGTTACATACCTTCATGCTGTATGGGTAAAGTTCGCGCGAATTTGCGACACCTCCAGACTCTTTAACTTCAATCAAGCACCGGCGGAGAGTTTGAAGTTGGTTATAGACTGGGAGTAGAGCTTCAGATACAGGTTCTGATGAAATCAAAAGCGCATAGATGTATGCATAACTGCGACGAATAAGGTAGAGGAGCGTCTGATAATATGTTAGCCAAATCCATCAAGGAATGCCCCGAAAAAAAAGATGCTTACTCGCTGTGCGTGCAGATCCGCCGGTTGGCCTTCGGCATCAACGAAATTTCCATTAACCCGTGCCTCATCAATTCGGTCAAGCTTTCGCTGGTATACGAAAAGGTCGGTTTCGCGCAGCGACCAAGCTTGTGTTACAGACAAACGATCCAGTTGGTTGCGGATTTCCAACAATCGTTCGTATTGTTCTCGGAACCGTTCATCAATTTTGCCCTCTCTGTGTTTGAATCAGTCAATGTCCGATCATCCAATTGGCAGGCTAGAACATACCGCTCGAGCACAATTTCAGTCCACCGCCAACACCTGTGAATCAAAGACTTGAGATCGTCCTGCCCTGCAAGAACATTTCCCTCCTCATCCACAAAGTTGCCGTCTTTTGATGTATTTTCAATTTTCTTCAATTGTTCTCGAAGAGCGTTTACTTCCGAAGCCGAGAACTAACAAATCAACCATCAGTTAGTACTGATCAGATGTATTATACAATTATTCGATGTCATACCTTTGACCGAGTATTCACAGCTGATGTCGACCGCAAAATTGAAACCAGTGTCTCGTGTGTCTGCGCCAAAGGAGGGGCCAATACGGCAAGACCCTTCTGCAACTTCGCCAGTGACTGTTCACATTGTTCCAGACGGCTTTCCAAGAGTGTGAGAAGAGCTGGTGAGTACGTGTTTCGGCCACGCTCAAGAGTTTCCCGGGTAGACTCTAGTGTCTTGGTGATCGAGTTCAAATCCTTCGAGCTGTAGAATCCAGCCTCTTCAAGGTGGTCAAGTAAGCGCTGCAAAGTCGTTAGTGTCTAGAGCGCAAAGCTAACAAGAAAAGCTGCAAGAGATCCTAGGAGTAAATACCTGGATAGTAGTAGCCAAGGAGTATCTAGCAAAATGTCAGTCACAGTCATAAGATGGCGGGGTAAAGATATTGTCACTCACACTGCGGGAGCTTCGTTGTTCTTCCCAACTGTCAAAAACAGCAGGGAAATCAACTGGAAACAATCATCCAAGATATAATCCACTATCATAGAGCGTCAGTCACCCCCAAGTCGAGCGCACGATCTACTGAACTCACAGCGATTGTGTGCCAAACGGCGATCTTGCTCTTTACGAACTGAATTGAGCTTCTCCACTTCTGCGATCACTTCCTCATAAAGTGGTAGGACATCGCGGGACTTTACGTATGAGGACTTGTCCCGTTTGATCAGGAGCAGCGCGTCACGGGTTCGGAGCAGGTTTTCAAGGATGGGCTGCTCCCGCGGATCCAGCGGGACCGGCATGGCGGGGGACTCCATGGTTAGAGAATGCGATAAGTAAGCAGCAGGTTGGAGAAAGTAGGTTGAGAACAGGTTGAATAAAAGAAATACGTTGCTTTGAAGGTAAAGACAAGTGCAGCTGATCGTACGTTTGAACCCCACCGGGATGTGATGTCAATTAATGAATGGATCGATTGATAGGGAGATCCTGCAGATACGACCAAATCGCACGGACCCGCAGCAGTTTACTGGGGGATTATGTCATCTCTATTATTATGTCATCTGGATCTAGCTCCGTTTGTGGATTAGCGGCAAGTCACGAGGAGGGGAAGAGGCTAAACCTGATTAGTCCAAGCCCTAAGCGAGGGCTTTTTCCCACACACGGCGCGTTTGCCCTGTTCGGGTGTCTATCATTGGCGTTCTCCTCTCTTCTTCTTTCCCATCCCCAACACTCTTCAAGACACCCAGTCCGGTCAACACCACCCGTCGACATGTCTACCGCCGAGCTCGCCTGCTCTTACGCCGCCCTCATCCTGGCCGATGACGGTATTGAGGTCTCCGTACGTATCCAAAATTCCTTGATTTTGGTGGGATAGTGGAGGCTTGAAGATCGCACTTGAAGCTTTATTTACTGTGTGAAATTGAGCCTTCAGAGAAAGATAACAAGCTATTGCAAAACCACTGGGATCAAACAACGATTATGCGAAAACGGTGACTGACCTTTAATCTTCATCCAGGCCGACAAGATCCAGACCATCATCTCTGCCGCCAATGTCCAGGAAGTTGAGCCCATCTGGGCCTCCATCTTCGCCCGGGTAAATACCTGATCCCATTCTACAACCCGCGCCAATATCGAAACAACCCGAACATGGCCGCGCGCGACAATTTAAGATTCGATAACTAATTCGATTTTCAACATAGGCCCTCGAGGGTAAGGACATCAAGGAGCTCCTGACCAACGTCGGTTCCGCTGGCCCCGCTGCCGCTGCCCCCGCTGGTGGTGCCGGCGCTGAGGCCCCCGCTGAGGCCAAGGCTGAGGAGAAGGTGGAGGGTAAGTTTTGATATACACCCCTCTGGTTTGTGAGTCACGGTACTAATCCCCACTACAGAGAAGGAGGAGTCCGATGAGGACATGGGCTTCGGTCTCTTCGACTAAGCGTCTTATCTCCATATCGAATTTGAAAACTCGTTTCCTTTTTTCTCTATCCCACAACCTCTTTTCCCTTTGCCGCATAGCGGCTCCCTCGACGATTCTCTATTGTACTCGATACACCACGACCCCCGCTACGACCTAGAACCCGGGGAAGAAAAAAAGAAAATTAGCAAAAGAATTCAAACGGACACGGACATTCAATGGAGACTGGGTGCTCGGTATGCCTCCGCGTCATAATGTGGCCGAGGTAGACTCGATCGGATACCGCTGCGATTCCGAAACTATTGTTGCTTCCTGGATTTTAGGGGAATTGAAGAAAGACGTTTGGCACACTTCTTGGGTTTGTCCATGATCAAAGTTCTGCTTTGGTCTGGCGAGTAGATGTATGATTCGTTTTCTCGCCCTCCACATGGATCCAGCTAGTTTAGTTTGCTCGGTCCCTGTGTTCGGCCTGTCATGCGACCATGAACCAACAACGAATGCCGTCTGATTCTTATGTGGGTACTTATTCGTAGGCCGAGTGCCGTAGTGTCGTAGGGCTGATCATCGGCGTTGGAGCTCTCGCGCATTGATATTCTCGATCTCAATGTGATATTTAGTCGAGCGCACTAGGTCTTCGTGGTTATCGCTCAGCAGGCTTGGAGTCCTCGGCGGTACAAAGTACAACATGGGTATGTAGACTGAAACAATACCACACTAAAACCATGATTGCATCCATAATATCGGTGAGGTGCACTGCTAGTCATTCTAAGGCTATGCTATCTCGAGCAACACACCCACCCTACTATGTATAATTAATCGACAGTAACGACCAGTTCACTATCAAAACAAACGCTATGCTATTCCAAAAATTTCCGATGTCCAGCATCAAACGCATGCAAATTATCTTCCTTAGACTCTCGAGCTTGACAGCAAAGTTCATATATTCGACGGTATATAGGCAGAGTTCATTGCTCTAGATCAAAGAGCAACCCAATAATATTTAAGAGATCGCAGAGAGACGAGGTTCCTGAACAGCGTAGATCCGGAATTGGAAGAAGATGGCCGCATCCTCAACCATAGTTCCCAGTGATCCAATCAACCATGGGAGATTGGTCAGGAAATATTCCTTCTCTGTAGAATGACAGAGAATCTATATCAACGCTGTTAGCTTGCGTCCAGTTTATAATACAACCAACTTGGAGTATCACTCACCCCTGCACCGTAAGTCAAGTTTCCTAGAAGAGAGAGAATAAAGAACAAGAGCGACAATCCTAGACAAATGTCAACACCGGCCTCATATGCGCATCGAAATACAGTAAGAAAATACCTTCACACGACTTCTGGCAGTAGTTTTTGTAGATCTGAGGCAATCTCGCTCTGCAACCAATGTCAATACCAATTCATCAGCCCTAATGGAATAGGAAACTCACCCTAGGTAGCACACAGCACTGAAATACCCCAGCACCAGCCCCCCAATAGCCTTGTCAGAATCATTGTTATTCTCCAACGGCGCTGGCTCCCACATGCCCGTCTGCCAAGCCATGGTCCAACCAGCCATGCCAATGAAGAAAATTCCAACAACACTAGCAAAGTTTTTGACCCACGCCTTACGGCCATAATCATTCTCCTCGACGATCTTGGCCAGTGTATCCTCGACCTCGCTCTCGCGCCGACCACTAGCGTGGTAACGGCGCAGTGAGCCCGACGAGCGGCGCCGCGACTCGGAAGACGCGAGGGAGTCGCTGAATCGCCGCCCCAGCAATGGGGTGGTTGGGTCTGGGGTCTCTGTGGACGAGCGTCGGCGATGGAAAGGCTCGGGACGCGAGTTGCGCACTTTATAGTACACACACTGTGCGATCAGCACTCCGTCTGCGATGCAGAAGTATACTGCGATCGCAACGATCACGGGCACAAGCCCGGATAGTAGGCCGCCGGCGAGGTTTGCGACATCGCCAATGAACCAGACAAAGATAAAGAGGAGAGATATGGCTTCTGAGTTGCCGTTGCGGTAGTTTTCAATGAGTTGAGGTACCTATATACCAGTATCGTTAGATATGAATCGTGCCCACTTTGGCTTTCGAGATGCGAATCTGATTTATCGCGCTTGTCAAAGCTTGTCAAACGTACCAAAAGGAAAAACCAGCAGGTCATAGAAACTGAGCCCAAGAGACCAGATGCAGCCTCCCGGGCTGTTAGAGATATGGGGCCTTGTTCCATGCTCATCTTCCTGCGACAAATTTATGTTGGAGTGAAAGAAAATTGCGCGGGAGATAAGAGGCTATGACACAATCTACTCCCGCTATGGCCAAGCTTTCAAGGGTCCAAGCACATACAACGTAGTATCTTTAAATATGATAATATGTTACCTATATATATATATGCCACTATGTGTATACTAGAATGTACAGATGATTTCTTTTAAACCAGAAACATCCATGTCAATTGACTACATATGTAGTTATATATGTAGGCCTATCAGCGCGGGATGATGCGCAGCAGCCAAGCATTGGAGAATTCTACAGCCAATGATACACTCTATTATAGTTATATATATATGTATATATGTACTCTATAACTACTCTATAACTAACTAGTTAGTTAACTACCTACCATGATCAATGTATATACGCAGTCTGCATCAATTATTACTCCTATAGGATATAAATTCTCAGTTGAAATGTCCCAAAGGAGTGTGGAAAACATATACTTTAATTCTATATATATCTTTCAACGATCTATATCGCCCAGAAAAGTTGGAAACCCCCAAAGACAATTGAATAATTCTCTTTTTTAGCTATGACATACATATGTTGACTTTGTCAAAGATACCCATATTTTCTCTCTGTGTGTGGCTTTTTAGTTGACCGCAATTGCCTAAATAACCCAGAGCACGCTATAAATGCTGTACATAGAATCTCAATTAATCTCTATTGTACTCGGACTAATACAGAAGTCATGTTCATCATGAATTTGCTTTATTCTCCTCGCATAATCGCGAGTTCGTCCTCGAGCATGCTGACCGCAAAATCTCCAAGAGAGTCCGTGATCGTGCCGTCTAACAACCGTTGGCGGGCAGTTTCCGAGATTGCCGCCATGGCTTCCAAATAATTGGTCAAAGGCGCATAGTCCACAACTACTTCGCTCCAGTTGCCTCTATCGACTCCGTACTGAGAAAGGAAAATACGAAGAGTCTGCAACCCCTCGCGCGTGAGCCACCCTTCAAGGGCTGCCGGGTCCCTGAGTGGTGGACGTGAGTGTGGGATATCGAAATGCTCTGTATCCTCGTCCTCATCCTCAAATTCAATTGGCTCTTCGTCGTCTGATGGTACATTGGGAGGGCGGGCGTCGTGGTTGATCTGGCCGAGGAGATCTTGCAGCCAATTTTCACCACCTCCAGCAGGAACTGCATATATAGGTGTGGGTTCGGATTGCTGCTTGTAGGCCTCGGATTCGTAGGGGGGAAGAGGGTCGGAGGAGGACAGTCGACCAGCCACAAAGTGGTTGGGAAGATGGGTTGTCACTTTAGCTATATCGGACAAGACCACATGACGAGCGATGTCCAAAGTGATCTCTGGCGGATTATTAGGCTCTTCGCCAGAGATAGAATCCGCGACTTCCATAATGAGAGAAATAGCCTCGGGCGTATTCCAAAGATCCTTTGCACGGGCGATGTAGAGTTCAGTAAGCAGCTCATGAGCGCCTGTAGGAGGCATTTTGCCCCATATTTGCTTAGGAACGTGCTGAACATCAAGTTCCTGTGCTAGCCTGCTGAACACCCACGGGTAGTGAGCCATGGCGAGTCGCAGCTGCCGGCGACATTCTTGGGGCTTGTTCAACCGGAGGTATGCTATTACCAGCGAGCACTGAATATTGGGGAGGTCGGCCCAGTCGCGACTAAAGCGTGTCTGCGTGCAGAGCTGCACGAATTGTGCGTATTCTCTACCTCGGAGCGCGAGATGGTCGATGAGCAGTCTCATGCAGTAAGGATCGCTGCTATCCAGACTGAGCAAGAGCTTGGCCCATTCGTAAGCGGTTCTCCATGTACCCTTCATTGTTAGGTTGGAGATGTACCTCCACCCAACAAGCCAGAGCTCTCGGTTCTCCGCATGTATGAAATCAAGTCTGGCCTCGCCTTCCTTGAGACGATTGGCAAACGAAGAGTGTACTGAGCGTCCGATATTGAACAGAGCTCTTTCCATCAGATCGGCAGACACAGCATGGTCGCCTTGGTGCTTGGCAATCTCCGACACCTGGAGAAGCGTAGAGATATGGTACGGGTTGTATTGGAGGTGTCCAATCAGTCTCTGTGGATCCATCGATTCCACACAGAGGTCGAACTGTCGTTGTACATCTTGGTAGGCAGTATTGTGTACTAGACGGTAGAGAGTCTCCCCGGAAGGAAGCTTCTCTACAGTTTCCATGCCTAACCCTCCACTTGGAGCACGAGGCCACTCGTCTTTACCCTGCATAAGAACATTGCGTCGTAATGTAACTCCAGCTAGACTTTGACCTCGGCTAGCTGGACTGTATCTTCCCGTCAACGCCTGAGCAAGGTCGACCATTTGTCGATTGCGATCCCGACGACGGCCCGTTCCATTATCCGCCGGCTGATCAAAGTTTTCTAGAACAACATTTCCAAACAGTCTCCGCATCTCATTCGTTGCATTGAGAAATTTGGGTTCGATGCCGAGCAATTCACTCGTAGTCTTTGGGAAAGAGGCCTCGGGAGTGTGTTTGGTAGATATACCTGTGCCAACTGACGAGTGCCCACCTGTTGACAACTCTTTCAACGCTCGATCGATTTCATCCAGGTCTGCTTCATTTGATTTTGAAGGCGGGGTATTGGCGGGCTCGGAGGGTTTGGCTGCCTTTTTCTTTTTTTTTCTTGTTGCTCTTTTTGGGCTTTGTTGGGGTTGGCTCAGGCTCTGGTGTCTGTGTTCGGGGTTCCTCCTCAATTTCCTCCTTAATTTCCTCCTCTTCCTCCTCGTCCTCATTTCCAGCATTCAACAAATCAAAGGCATTGAATTTCGGTTTCGCGGGGCGCGGGGCTTCGTCTTCGCTTGACTCATCGTGTTGGTCAGGTTCTCGCTGCTGTTCTTGTTCACGCAGCTTCTGCAATTTTCGGATTGTTCGAGAAGACATCCTACACGCTGAGGCAAAAGCCCTTGAACATGTAGAGTAAAAGCTGCCTGCGAAAGTGAGAACAAAAGAAGAATGCTTCGAAACAAAACCGCGGGGAATGACGACAGAGACCAATATGGATTAGCGCTCTTTTGGATAACTTTTACACGTGACTTTCATCTCGAGGAGACCGAGCTCCTTGACAAGCTTGAAACCTCATCTACATACAATCTCGGAACTATTATCTGCCTTGCATAAGGCACAGAAGTTTATAAGCTATCATATTTACTGCTGGATCAATGCGTTGGGCGACTGTTCAGGCCTGCCGTACTGCGCGGCGTACACCAGTATGGAACATTGCCGCTAAACGGCCGTGCCCTTTGACCTTCAACCAGCTGCGAGGTATTCGGCCATATTCTGGTGGCAGACGCTCATCCCACACTCCAGTAGCTCCTCAATCATCTATGCATCGCCGAAACCTCTCCCTCGCTGTTATCTCGACCGTCGTTGCCTCCGGGGCATGGTATACCTATCAGGGTGATACCGTTAAATCGGCAGCAACCCAGATCCGGGGTTTCGCATCGAGTGCCCTGAACTCCGCCTACGCAGAAGGACCCGCAGAGTCCACACGACGTGCATTGTTGGTCAGCGGCGATCAATTCTACACCGCGACACTCTCCGGCGACCAGCCTCTTGCCAAGCATACAGACGATTCAGATCGCCAAGTCCTCGAGATGTTGACTTCCGAGCAGGCGACCCAAAAGCTTCGGAAGAACGAGGAGTCATATTTGGTCAATCGGGGCAAGGGTGTTGTTCGTTACGACGTTGTTCAGGTTCCCAGCAACTCCCCCATTGAGGACGACCATGCGGAGAAGATAGTGGAGATTCCAGCGTCCGTGGCTGCTGTCAGCAATGGCGAGCCGAGCAGTGACTGGATGTTCTGGGGAGTTTTTGACGGTCACTCGTACGTTGTATCAAGGTTGGATATTTATAATGCAAGTACTAACTATACACCAGGGGCTGGACCACATCTGCGAAATTGCGCAATGTTTTGATCTCATATGTGGCCCGTGAATTGAACACAACCTATAAGGCTGCTTCTGCCGATCCATCTCTCCTCGTGCCAACATCCGAGGCTATCGATGCCGCCATCAAGAAGGGGTTTGTCCGCCTCGACAATGACATCGTACATGAGAGCTTCAAGGAAGTCCTGAAGTCTAAATCACGACGGGTTGCCGCTGAGCTTCTTGCTCCTGCTCTATCGGGATCATGTGCTCTTCTCAGCTTCTATGACTCTCAGTCCAAAGACCTCAAGGTTGCTGTTACCGGAGACTCTCGCGCAGTTCTGGGCCGTCGCGGCCCTAGCGGGAAATGGACTGCCACTGCTCTTTCCGAGGACCAGACTGGTGGCACCCCATCTGAAATGAAACGTTTGCGCGAGGAGCACCCCGGCGAGCCAAATGTGACCAAGAATGGCAGAATTCTCGGCCAGCTTGAACCCAGTCGCGCTTTCGGTGATGCTTTCTACAAGTGGAGCCGGGATGTCCAAGATACGATAAAAGCGAAGTTCTTTGGACGCACTCCTCATCCTATGTTGAAAACACCTCCCTATGTCACCGCCGAGCCTATCATTACTACCACCAAGATCGATCCCTCCAAGGGCGACTTTGTCGTCATGGCTACCGATGGTCTTTGGGAGATGCTAAGCAATGAGGAAGTTGTTGGCCTGGTTGGCCACTGGGTTGAGCAACAACAATCTGCTGCTGCAGACACGGGTAGCAAGGCTTGGTTACAGAGCTGGTTCGGGTTTGATAGTCAGAAGAAACTTCCCGTGGAAACTGCAACCGACGGATCAACCGAAGGCCAACGGCGTCCTATTCGCCAGCAACAATATGATATATCTGGCGCGGCTAGTCGATTTGTTGTCGAGGACAAGAACGCAGCAACGCATCTGGTGCGGAACGCAATGGGCGGAAAGGACAAGGATATGGTGTGCGCACTGTTGACGCTACCTAGTCCTTACTCTCGCCGATACCGGTATGAATATCCTTTTCATGACATTTAGTTTCTAGCGGTTTAGCTAATCTTTCTTAGTGACGATGTTACTGTTGAGGTCATCTTCTTTGGCCAGGGCCCTGATTCACGCACTGTGGAAGTCAATCAGGAAGCAAGTGCCTCGGAGCAGCCTCCTAAGTCAAAGCTTTAGGCGTTCGTTTTGTTTCATATTTTATTCCGTGACATTTTCGAAGCATTTTGAAGGGCGGCGGGCTTTTTTTGATACGTTTTGCAATCTACTTTCTCCAGTGGGTCGTCGCTACTGGATATATGGCAAGGTCAAGACAAGATACTAGGGAGTATGTAGGATATATAATCCTATGAATTATCCACAATGTCCCTAATTATACATAGAAAAATGGTCTGTATGTTTTGAGCCTTTGGCCTCCTTCGTACTCCGTATATTGCACACAGTAGAGTGATAAGCGGAGCATGTTTACTCTGTACTATCATTCCCATTCCTAGCTGCACTTCTGTAGCTACTAATTGTGGTTTTACATATAACACATATAACACCCCTAATATCCTGCTGAGCCACCTGGGCACATAAGTCAGATTAACCAAGTCGCACATCGTCAAGGATAGAGGCGGCCGACTATCGTTGTGAGTGGGAAGTAGGAAAAAAAAAGAATTGTGCATGAATGCGGATCGGCAAAGACAGTGATGCTACCCAATGAACTTCGAAACCATTCGACGAACTATATGTGCATCTTGGATTGCCATTTCGCAGGGAGGGTTGGACCAAATTAACGTTGACGCGCAACCCAAGAGTTTAACCTGTACTGACCCTATCCGAGCCGGCTCATAAGGTCTGTACCATTCACCCAGAGGGTATAGATTGAATCAGATCTGACATGAGCTTGCTGTCAAAATTCGGGGTGAATGTGGCCTCCATCATGATGAACATCTGAAATTCATTTAGAGCCAGCGCGTGGATAGATCGCAACTCTATAATAGAGTGTGGCTGGGCAAACCACCTTCGATTTGTGGCATAGGGAAGAACCCATCTCACTCCAGATGAAACGTTTCCCGCCGATGGAATCAGCGCAAGTTTTTCAATTGGAAAGGGTCATTATCACCCGGCTTCTCGAAAGCGATGAATCTCTCATTGAAGCGGTTGAACGTTACCGGCGAAAACACCTTCTTGTCCAGTATCCAAGTCTGCAGCGTAGCAAGATTGGTACTAGTAATCCAGTATAGCATAATCGCAGTTGGCATCTCCTGAACAAAGCTTGCGAAGCCAATATAGCATGTTAAAACTATGACAAAGGCCCGCAAACCGGTAAAAGAGATCTGCTTGTACATCTCGGTCTTTGAAAGGAGTGGGAGCTCGTTCCAAGGTCGGACTTTCCATCCCATCAGAACGTTCCCCAGGATTGAGGCAGTCAGAAAAACTGGCAGCACGCCTGTTGGGTCGCCGGCCAGCAAATCCGGGAACCAGAGAGCGCCCTCGTTCGCAAGAGTGGGCTCAATGGTTAAATGCAGAGATTTGGCTGCGGAGGCAGGGTCTTGCGACGACTCGATGAACGATGACAGCCAGGCAATGATGCCCTTATTGTTGCCGGTCATCCCGCGTAGACTCTCCATGAGCGCAATGAAGACAGGTATTTGCAGGAAGCTAATTGCTTTGTGCTTGCCGGACACTCCCCAACGCTTATGAAGCTCAGCTGTTCGTTTTCGTATATCAACCATGGCTTTTTTCTTTGCTTCGGCACGTGTTACAGTCTTGAGACCCGTAGTATCTCTGATTTGACTTGAATGTATCTCTGCATATCTCTTTACCCAAGCGCTTAGAATCGGCGATAATTTTCTTTCGCGATGGCGATGCAGTCGAGAGTATAACAGGATGGGCAACCCAACAAATGTACGAACAAGTACGGCCGTTAAAGGAATTGAGGCAACCCATGGTAAACATGAAACAGTGTGGACGCCGTGAATAAATGCAGTAGAGCCGTCTAGTCCAAGGTCGAGGATGGTAGATGAGGTTGGTCTTGTTGGGTGGAAGTGTCGAACTTGCGAACGAGGCAATTGTACGACTTGCCGCGTTAATCGCAGAGCCTGCGCCGAGCGGAGGGCATACATAACTGCTGGCGAGGTGAGGGATGTGATAAATAATAAAAGATAGCTAGAAAACCTGAAGCTATAAAAGCCGCGGAACGGATATTTGGAGATATATCATGTGACACGTATGAAGTTACTTCATTGGCCCGACTGATCAACTTGTTGACAGCAAGAGAGGGGGACCATTTTCTGACTTATTCTCTCGTTTGACTTCAAATTATCTTACTATGTGTGTTTTCTGATGAGGTCTCTTTAAATACTGCCTTTTCACCATGGCCCTCTTACCAAACGCCATTCTGGCCATTCTGGTCCTCACCGCCACGGTTATCCTGCTTCCGAAGCTAACAGGCGTTCTTCTCGGTCTAGTATTTCGGGGAGTGGGCTGGCTGATATGGCGACGAACACGGTCTCGCCGTGAATATGTGATCGCGCGGGCGCGATCTGAAGAGGAGGAGTTACGCGCCTCACGGCCGAAGGGTTCAACAACATCATTACCACGGAACGGTGCCGAAGATGAGGACTGGGAGAAGGTGGATAGCTCAGGCGCAGGTGGGGTACAGACTGCAACTAGCAGTGAAAACAGTGACAGTACTGGCGGCGAAAATAACCAGAGTCCGGAGGACTGGGATGGGATTATTGGGTTCTTCCACCCATTCTGGTATGAACATTCTCTATACATATCAAAAACACACAACGCTGACTGGTTGCTACAGCAATGCCGGCGGAGGCGGCGAACGAGTCTTGTGGGAAGCCATACGTGCAACACAGAAACGCTGGCCGAAGGCAATCTGCGCTATCTACACCGGGGACCATGAAGTCAATAAAGCCACGATGCTGGAGAAAGTGGAGAACCGGTTCAATATTCACCTACATGCGCCAACAGTGGTGCTTCTATACTTGACAACTCGCAAGTATGTTGTTAGTAGCTCATACCCTTACATGACGCTCCTGGGGCAGTCGCTGGGGTCACTGGTTGTTGCCTACGATGCTTTCACGCTGCTTGTACCAGATGTTTTTGTTGACACCATGGGCTATGCCTTCACACTTGCTCTGTGCAAATGGTTTTTCCCGACAGTGCCTGTTGGCGCCTATGTTCATTACCCGACCATATCAACCGACATGTTGGCCTCTCTTGACGATAAAAGTGGGGTGCAAGGAATCAATTCCGGCGCAGGGAAGGGGTGGAAAGGGAAAGCTAAGCGTCGATACTGGGAGATCTTCGCCAAGCTGTATGGCTGGGTCGGTCGCCAGATCGATGTAGTTATGTGCAACTCGTCCTGGACAGCAGCGCACATTCGCACCCTCTGGGGCACCGGCAGGAAAGGCAGCAACAGCAGCGGTGACGGAACTGCATCATCTCCAGCGGTTGTGTTCCCTCCAACCGCAGTCACAGAACTACAAACAAGTATTGCTGTTGACGCGGAGAGCGAGAAGACTCGCCAGCCTGTTCTACTTTACATCGCCCAATTCCGGCCAGAAAAGAACCACCCGCTAGTATTGCGCTCATTTGCGCGATTCCTACAAGAACGAATAAACAACCCAGCCTATGAAGGTCAACCCACTCCACGTCTTGTGCTCATTGGATCGGTGCGCCATTCCAGCCCTGATGAAACCCACATCTACAACCTGCGCCTCCTGGCGCATGAACTCCGCATCCGCGACCATACCACCTTCTTGTGTGATGCCAGCTGGCCTGTCATGTTATCCCATCTCCGCACCGCCTCGGTTGGCGTTAATGGCATGTGGAACGAGCACTTCGGTATTTGCGTCGTGGAGTACCAAGCCGCTGGTCTCATCTGCGTGACACACGACTCGGGCGGTCCACGTGAAGACATAGTCGTTGATTTGGGCGATGGTGCAACTGGATTCCGTGCTGAAACAGAAGAGCAGTTTGCTGCTTCTTTCGAGGCAGCCCTCGCTCTTCCAGAGGCAGAGAAATTTGCCATGCGGCAGCGGGCTCGTCGCTCAGCTCAACGGTTTACCGAAGAGGAGTTCTCCCGCAAGTGGCTGGATCAAGTACAAAAGCTTGTCAAGGCGTCAAAGGTTTAAGTTTGTGATATCCCCCCTGGAAATAGATCTAGTTTTGTGGTTCACTGAAATAAGAAGTCAATTCTATGAAGAACCCTTAAAGATTGTACTTAATTCGTAATAATCGTAAAATAGAAATAATAGAAGGTGTGGCTAGGCCTAAGACTCGTGCATAAAAACAGACATCTCAACTAGGGCGACCCAAGCCTTCTAACCAGAAAGTAAGACCTCGGGAGTCTGCAATACAATGTATGACAATGCGAACACCCTGAACTCCCCCGCTTTAATCGCTATCACTGGCCTCTCCACCATCCGAGTCAGCTCCATTGCTGGTATTTTGAATACCTTCAGCCAAGATATACTCGGTTTGCTGAAGGGTCTTCTTAATCTCATTATTGTTGAAGACCAGCTCAGCAGGTTTCTGGCCATGCATATTCCGCACTCGAGGATCACAACCAGCCTCACACATCATCTTGATCATGGCCTCACCCAGCTCTGCGTCTTTATCGTTGGCGTACCGCACTGCGATATGCAAAGGCGTGTCCTTGTCCAGCCGGGTCAACGGGTCGCACTCAAAGAATTGGATATCAAACAGGGCATCCATAGTATCATCTAACCAAAATAAACGAGTTAGCTTCCATAAAACATTGGCATTAAAGAAGTGGCACAGTAAACACGTACAGCTGCCGTATTGGGCACAGACGTGCAACGCGTGGTTTCCCATGGAGTCTGTCAACTCATTGAAGAAGTGTGCCACTTGCTCGTTTGTCTTCTCTTCCATTTCGTTCAATACTTGTTCAATTAGGTGGGGTTGGTCCCGGCGGCAGGCCTCCACGACCAGCTCGCGGGGTGATGCGCCCTAAATCATAGCGGCATTAGCATTGATACTTAACAAGGGGCCTGTAAGAAGTACTCACCTCGTCAGCCATCTCTGTATATGGGTTAACAGAGTCCGGGTTACCCGAGAGTGAAGTCGGTAGTACAGGGGATTGGTGCTCAGCGGTAATGGAACGCGTAGAGCTAGTTGTAACAAGAGTCGGGTGTTTTGTATGGGTATTTTGCTGAGCAGAATAAATTTCCACAGGGAAACAAAGTGTAATATGTATGTACAAGCTGGACCGCAGGTTAAACAGGCATCCAAGTTCCTGGCAAATACTACAGGTTATCGGAGTTGTTCCCCAGGGACATCCCATACGCGGGTCGCCCGGATATACAATCCTCCGGATCCCATTTGGATTTAGCCGCGCGCCTAGATCTCTTATCATCGACGGTGATATTCTGCAGCTGGACGGCGACTACATTGTTACAGCTGCTGGGAACTTAACTTTCTCCTGGTTTAGCTGTCTATCGATTTCTTTGCCTTCCAACTGCGTCCTCGAGCCAGATTATCAATATGCTCGTCTGTATGTGTTATTTCCGGGTTGATGGTGTCTAGCGGCAGTCCAGAACAGAAACTGACTCCTCTCTCTCTAGTCTGTCCCAATTGCAGTAATGCGCTCACCATTTCCAAAGCGGAATCGAGCACAAGATTCCCCGCGGGTGTGAACCGTTTTGAATGCCGCGTCTGCCCCTACGAAGCTCCGCTGGAAAGGAACTATTTCGAGAAGAAAGATATGAAGCAAAAGGAAGTGGACGATGTCTTTGGTGGCAAGGAGGAGTTTGCCAATGCTGATAGTGTCGGCAGTAAGTTCTTCTCGCCATCTTCTCTCAGGAGTGACATGCCCGTCGAGATATACAGAGCTAACACACACTTTTCTTCTCTCCCTTACAGCTCAATGCCCCGCCGAAAGCTGCAATGGGGAACGTGCGTACTTCTTCCAGCTGCAGATTCGCAGTGCAGATGAACCGATGACTACATTCTTGAAGGTATGTCTCCCTCCTTACGTTTAATGTGAGGTACCCGTGTCTGACAGCTCCAGTGTACCTCGTGCGGTGCTCGGTGGAGAGAAAATTAGAATTGGGCGACAAGGCTGGAAACAAGTCACTCGCATTGCTTTTTTGCTCTTATTTTCTTTTAGTTTTATTACAGCGAGGTGCAAATGGCGCATTTACCAAGTGTTTTAAAGGGGGCGTATATTTGTATGTAACTCCAAACTATCAAGTTGATACAACGATACCCAAATTAAAAATTGATCGACGTCACAGTCCACCGCACAGATTATTTTATGATCAGTGGAAAGTTTTTAGCTGGATCTAGCTTTTTTTTTATGCAATTTTATTTTCTATCTTTTTTTTTTTTTTTGTGGCTTCAAATTTTGCGCTTTTTAACTATAAATACAATTGGTCTAGTACAGATATAGAGCCCGACATTGATTTCTGCCTGGGATTTACCAAATAAGAATTTGATCAAAACCAAAAAAGATTTTCCATGCATAACATTGTTGGTGGGATGAGTTGGCGGTGAGAGTGTTGCCCCTCATCCGCGGGGTTCTAAAAGACAAAAAAAGAAGAAAAAAAAAGGGAAAAATTGGATCGAGATATCCAACATCGCCACGGTAATCCATACAGGGTCAACAGAATGCGGAAAATCCGCAAAGTACATCATAAACAATGCAAACTACAGGATTTTTTTACCCAACCACTCTGCGTTGCTGCCCAGTTTG